AGTCTCAGCATCATGGGGAGCAGAGCTTTATCTCTGACATCTGCCATACTAGTCTTTATCCTTGTTCAAATCAAAACTCTAAACCCACCTGTTCAAGATTACCTTTTAAAAATGATTTTATGTTTCTGTCCTGTGTGTAGTTTATGTTTCTTTAACTTTGACAATGTTGTTGTTTTTTTTATCTGTTATTGTTTTTACCTTACAATGTTCTTGAATGTTTTGAAAGGCGCTTGAAATAAAATTTAGTATTATTTAACCCTCCTTCTCCGCCACCTGCTACCAGTTTAGCAGTTTTACCTAATTTTCTATGGACAAAGTGGCAGCTATTAGCAAACAGTTTACTGAACTGCCCACACCTGAAACTTCTCAGAGTTCAGATTCTAGAAGAAGTCCTACAGCTTCATTCTCTTCATTTACCCCTCTCACTGAGAGCAATGTCTCTAAACTCCTCACATATAGCCGTCCTACTAAATGTCTGCTGGACCCTTTTCTTACCAATCCAATCCAGTCCATAGCTGCTATGGTAACTGCAGCAGTCACACACGTGATCAATGCCTCACTGACATCAGGCACATTTCCTAAATCATACAAGCAAGCTCTGGTTACACCGCTGCACAAGAAACCCTCTCTTCCACCATCTCAGGTGGAAAACTACTGGCCGGTCTCTACGACTGTTTCTGTCTCAGACCATTGAAAGGGCAGTCTGCAGCAGATCACAGAATACCTCTCACATAACAATCAATCAAGCCAATCTGTGTTTTAAAAAGGCCCCTCCACTGAAACGGCTCTATTATCTATGTCAGAAGCCTAAAAAGAGGCGACAGCAACAGGGAAGACCTCAGTACTTATCCTGCTTGATTTATCAACATCATGGTTCATCTATGGTTATCTCCCACCTTGACTATTGTAATGCACTCCTGACTGGTCTCCCAGACAGTAAAACCATTACAAACCATCAGGAAAATGGCGGAACGTTTGGTCTTCAATCAGCCCAAAAAGTCTTCCATCATCCCTCTGTTCATTGAGCTTCACTGGTTGCCCCCGGCTGCCTGCATCAAATTCAACTCCCTGATGCTAGCGAACAAAGTGCTAAAGGGTTCAGCTCCCGTCTACTTGAACCCTCTTGAAAGGCTAATGTCACAACTCAGTCACTCCAGTCATCAATGGATTGTCATCTG